TGAAGGTTTGCTCCGCCCGTTAGATGAGCGTAACAGACTGCCTGACTTGGAAAGGGAAATAAAAGTGCAGCAAGTAATTTGGTCTGAGCTTCTTTCCTTTAGGCTAGAGATGCCTGCCCTTCCATAAAAGGACGACTACTCCAAAGCCTTAATGATTACTGCTACATCTTTGGATGCTTTGAAGCAGTAAGGAGAAAAAGTGTCTTTTCTGTAAATACTCTGAAGCTGACAGATTGAGTGGATGGCAAAGGCAGTACTTCTGCATTCCCACCTCACTGTGGGACACAGACAACAGTGGATTAGCTGATTGTCTCCTAGCAAAAACAAAATAAATCACGATGAGGGTGACACGTGCCTCTGTACAGCTTCCTCTAAAATGTCCCTGAAACGTAACGTTTCTGTCTCTGCAGAAGAAATTAAGAGTTATTGGCAGCAATCTTCCTGATAAAACAAAAATTGATTTGATTTGGTATTTTACTTGGCAGGGAGTTTTAATAACAAAGGGGAAATGAATCTACCTGACAGCATGCTTCCTCTCTGTAGCAGAACATCGGTCAGGCTGTACCTCCAGGGTGTCCTGGCGCGGGCAGAGCACAACAAGGCATTGCGAGCCGTGCCGTAGCTCTGATGTGAAGCTCGTTTGGTCCTAAATTTCCTGCAGAGAGTACAGCGACATCCTTAATATCCTCAGCCTTGGATCAAATCCTGCGGGCAGCTGTGCCAGCCTGCTCTCTGCAGGGCTGATGTGCCAGGCAGGGACTGCGCCCGCAGATGTTGGGGGCGAAGCGAGCTACCAAGCGACGCCCGCCTCTTCCCAGCCCTGACAAGACAGGGCTTTGTTCTGCCAGCTCCCAGCCCAGGGCAGGGTTCACAGCTCTGCTTAGCAAGGTGCTGAAGGAGGACAGTCAGAAATGTATTTAAACTGTTGCGTTGTGGGGGTTTTTTTAAGTCCAACTATGTACAGATTTCATTTCTCTGTGACATCTTCTCCATGATTCAAAGCTATGGCACTAACCTGGTACTGATGCACATCAGAAGACACTAAAACATATTTCCACCAACTCTCATGCCCCAGAATAGTCTCGGTGCACTAGGAGAATTGGAAGGGTGATGGAGCTGCCTAGAAAGACAAGAATTTTAAAACACTAGCTGTACCTATCTGTGAGTAGAATTGGGTTTCTCCTGGGGCAGAGAAGGAGACTCTGGAGGTCCCTTCCAGTCCTGCTCACACGATTTTCATGTTCACTTTCTTTTTCCATTTTTTTCTTTCTGGTCATGCATCTGGTCTGACAAAATTGCTCTGTGCTTTGCAAAATGAACCAGCATTTGCAGGAGCATTTAATTTCTGTGCTGTGAATTCCTAGGATAGAAAGAACTGCAAGTGCTGACAGCCGGTGCCAAGCAGACGATTTACCTTGAGCCATAGCAGGATGTATTTTTAGTATGAATTATATGAGACAACTCCTTTAAGCCAGATTGATGGAAGATAAAAGAGAAGTGCAATATAGCTGCAAGGGAAGGAATGAGTCCTGATTTGTAAAAGTTCCCTCCTTGCAAGGAAGAGCTATTACAGTCTGTCCAACTTGACAGCACTGAGCTGATTACCTCACCCCTCCGCTTCCGTGGAGAGATTTTGTCATGGGCCTCAGCATCACTGTGGAAACTTTACATACAGATTATATATATGGATTTAATATGACAGGAGTGAACACTAACAGGTTTCTGCAGGTGGCAAGAGGAAGAGCTTCTTTCAACATACAGGCCTATTAACGGAATTCTCTAATCTGTGCTGCATATAAGAGCCAGTGCTGAATAAGCCCAGGTGCTCCTGAAATAAAGGAAAAATTCTCTCACACAAGCATAGATCTGGCCTAGCGTTATTGAGATCAGTGGAGACACTCCAGATAAATCAGCTTCAGCCTAAGGGAATGCAGAACCCGTACAAAACCAAGGGAAATTCTAATCAGTGGAAGCCAGCAACTGAATAACCAGTGCCCTGCCTCCCTGTGTTTCCCAATTGAAGCCTCTGAGCCCAGCAAAAATTCTAGCTGATATATTCGAGACATTTTCCAGTGCTTTCAGCTGGATATCGGTCCTCTGGTGCCTTCAGTCATTGGAGCGCTCAGCTGGGGGCAGTGCAAATAAAAACCATCTGTCAAGCTGAACTGAAATCAGGAATCTTTAAGAGCCAAGGACAACACAGCATGTATTGGAAGGACACTAAATTCCTCCTTTGAGGGAGCCTTGAGGAAAGGAAGCTCGAACCTGCAGCACGTACCATGAGAGGGGGTTGACTGTCGGATTCCAGGGTACGGCTGTGGCTGCTGTCGACCGAGTCGGACTGAAAATGGAGCATCCCTCCTGGCAGCCTGGCTGTAGGAAGGATCCCAGTTACAGCCGTGCAGCATGAAGAGAAGGAAATGGGCATCTGGGTTTCTTTGTGGGGTGGTTCCTCCACTGCCCAGGGCACAGCAAGATGCCTTCGAAAGACCCAATTCCACACAGATTGCAAGCACTCACACCCGTAGGGCTTCTCCTTCCTCCTAACAGTAAGAGTTACTAGTACCTTGCACAGCACTCTTAGGAGATGGGCTGTTGCTCTCAGTGCCACCACAGACAGTTTAATACTCCCTGTGCTTAGTTTTCTGTGAGTAATACTCTCGGCTGCTTTGGCAGGGGTCTGTAATATAATTCCAACAGTAATGTAGTTCCAGTGACATACGTGCTGGACAATTTCTTTTGCTCTCCGTATTTATGTTGGTAATTGCTTAGCTGTAACTCGAACGTCTTTGGGGAAATTTCCATTGTGCTTCTACACCTCCCTTCTCTTTCTCTGGGCTGACTGGTCACTGACGATTGTTTCCAGCTCTGCTGGAAAATTTGGTTAGAATGAATGGAAGCAATTAATGAAAGAATAATCAGGGAATGCCTGCCAAGGGCTCCTTCACTCAGCCAGCCCATCTTCCCAGTCTGTAAGTGCCCGTGGAGTGGGTCACTGACTGCAGCCCCATCCTGGGAATGATCCCTTGGGACTGGGCTGTTGTGCAAATAAAAGGGACAAAGGTGAGACCAAAAGTGGCGATTTCATCTGGGTTTCTGGTACACTAATGCCTCCATCTACACCAGACTAGTCCTTCGCAGCAAAAATGCCCGCGGTTTCTTCCCACTCCAGGAAATTCCGAACGGCAGAAGGAAACAGAGAGACTGGTTTTTCAGGACTGTTGTGCAGCTTTGTTAATATCTCTCTGGAGCCACCTGTCAAGGATGCATTGCCAGAAGGAATGTTGTGCAGAAGAATGTGAAAATAAATAAACTTTATTAAAAAGAGAATAAAAATCAATAATAACACCAGAAGTCTGGAAAGGTACATCTGCTAGACATTGTAGAGAGGACTTACCAGTCTCTTTGAGACCTAGAGATTGTACTTTAGAAAAAACTCTCCCAATTACCATGACTCATCTCTGTTCGGAGGTTTGCACGTTAAAAACATAATCTGCAAAAGAAGTATTAGAAAGAGGCTGTTGGAGCCTGTGATGGCCGGGAGACAGGACTGGGACAACCAGGAGCACAGTGTTCCTTGTGTTGGCGCCTGCAATTGCGTAACTGGATCGGCCTCTGGTTTCTCAGTGCCCCTTGAGCTCTTTGCCATCTTCCAGGGTGGAATTTCCCCTAATTCCATTTATTGTTCGCAAATGTGTGGTGTAGCTTGTTCTAGGCCTGGAGGAGCAGCTCCTCCCGTGTGCGCCCAGGCCTCCAGATGGTGCTGTGGGGCTGAGCCTGGAACGCGCGAATGGTTCTGGTGCACCCAGGCTGGAGGGAGACCTTCTGATGCGGGACAGCAGGTCCTGGACACTGAACTGTTTTCTGCCTGTTACTACAGCCAGCACCACGGATGCCAGGAAGGTCACAACACAGTTGGTTTCATCATGTTTTGTGTCCAGACTGAGAACCCGCAGAGCCGTGGGGTCGGGTGGAAGTGGTGTTGAGCCTACGGACTGGATCTGTGTTTCAGCCTTGGCTCAACATTAGCATCTTGCACACTCTCCTTAGAACCATGGAATCATTTAGGTTGGAAAAGACCTTTAAGATCATCGAGGCCAACCTTTAGCCTAGAGATGCCAAGTCCACCTCTAAATCATGTCCCCAAGCACCACATCCACACATCTTCTAAATATCTCCAGGGATGGTGACCCCACCACTT